AGTGATCAACTGATCAAGAGAAGGACGAGCACTGGTGTACTTATTGAGGATATCAGCGAAGGTCACAGTCTCACCAGCCAGCTTGGTGTACATATCACGACCCTTGGTATCATCGGGGTTGCCGATCAACGCCAGCTCAGCCTTTTCCTTGGGATCCTCAGCGAATTTGGACAGAGTCTTGTAGAAAGCCCTGTTGGGACGACCGAAGATATCCAAAGACTCCTCAAAGAGCTGGGAGATAGTACGGGGACGGAGAGAAGCAGCGCGCTTGCGAGCATCGATGTTCTCGGATACAGGAGTGATCTTGACCATCTCCGAGGGGTTGAGACCATAAGACTGAAGGAAAGCACTAACTCTGCCAGCCTCGTTCATGGGGTGGATGTTGAGGACATCACCAAGAAGATAGGGAAGATCCTGACCATCCTCCAATTCGAAGCGCAAATGACGAATATCCCTCTCGTAGTCGCTGGGAGTAAGACGATCGTTCTTCTTCAAACCAAGCTGAATAGTTTGAGGAGGCATGATCCTCTCATAAGGAGCAACCACGACTTCATCAGAGTCAAGCTCACGAACCTCGAACTGAGAGTCGGGAACGGACCCGTCATCAACAGGCTCAGGAGCATTCACAGACTTCCAATAACTCGGCATCCAATCCTCAAAGGCAGTCTCATACTTGTCCTCATCCTGATCGTTACCGAGACCAATGGCAACTGTCCTTTGACCGCCCATCTGAGCGAAGATATCGTCAATTCTCTTGGCAGCAGTGCAGAAGTGATGATAACTGGAGTCACCCAAAGCAAAGACACCGTATTGGACACTGTCCAACAGATGAGCATTGGAGTTGTCCTTAGCAGCAAGCTGCAACTGCGCAGTGAAGTGAAGGGCAGTCCTAGGAGTGGTACCCTCACCAGTAGTAGCGCAAAGAACCATAAGGGTCTTGTTTTCAGGGAGCTCACTCACGTCCATCTCATCGCACTCCATGACCTTCACAGCGTAACCACGCTGACGGGCCAGTTCAGCAACACGATAAGCCAACGCCTCGGTAGTACCGGTCTCGGTGCCGTACAGAAGAGTCAGCGGACACCATTAGAGATATCTT